TCTTTTTTTTCATGAAAATTAGCGACCACTTAATGACCAAATTTACTTTTTGTTACTAAAGTTCATATTAGTGACCACATATTAGTGACGACCTTTCTCATCGTCGTCACAGTTAGTAACCAAAATATAAGTAGTCACTAAAATTTTGGTCACTAATAAAGCTTTTTGTAGTGCTTCTAGCTAATGCATTCAAAAGATAATTTGACATAAACTTTACAAAATCCACATTGCAAGATTTTTTTGTTAGAAGTATCAACTTTTATGATATTATTTATGGTTGATAGATTTTCTTTTCATTTGTGAATTTGTAACATCATTTTGTGCCATTTTTTCTAGAGTATGATAGGCTTTGTTTTCATTTGTGAATCGAGATGAAATCATTATTCTTGTTTACAGAATGATATCTGATTGTAGTGATGATCCTAGCTATGAAATAAATGATAATGCAAGTGGACATATGACAGATTCTTTATCTTTAGACCTTGAAGACGAGGATGATGTAATCAACTTAAGCAAAATAGTTAATGATCAGTTTTTAAATAAACTTTGTAATGTAAACACGATTGACGATGTTGATGAAGAGAATGATAATGTTGGAGATCATACTATACAAAAAGGTGTCCAATATCTGATACATGATCTTAATATTCCTTGGAAGTTGATGAAGCTCAGATTTGGTGAGAGGTATGAGAATCCTAGTCATTTAAAGCAGTGTTTGACAAACTATGTGGTGGAAAATAGCTACCAACTAAAGAATGTAAAAAATGACTGAGAGAGGCTATTTGTAACATACTAAAAAGGTCAGAAACATCGAACTTATCCTTTTAGATTATGGGCATCTTGGATGCAAGAAGAAAAAGTCTTTTTAGATTAAAACTATTAATCGTAAGCATAAACATAGTAGAGACTATAGTTTTGGATCTCTAGTGACACCGAATTGGATTGCAAAGCATTATGTCAGGGAACGGGGCATAACGCTAGGACTTGTAAGAATGAAAAGAATGACCTACCACCTAAACCGATTAAGCCAAAAGGTAGACTAAGAGTCAACATTTCAAAAATCGACTATATCATATACCCTTTAGAGAAG